TATATATATATATATATATATATATATATATATATATATATATATATATATGTGTGTGTGTGTATATATCAAATCTGATCAGTCTCAATAAATGTTTCTCTATCATAATAAAAATGCTATTTTTCTAAAGTGAGCAGTGATACAGAGGGAATGTACTAAAATGCATTTAGTTTGAAAATCACATCATCAACATTTAAAGTAGAACATTTTATAGTCACTTGTATATATTAATGAATACACTCCTTAATAGTTAAATTATGCTCTTAATGACTAATAAAAAACAAATATATATATATAACAAAACAAGTACTGGAAAAAATATTAGACCATAGTCACTTTCCCTTCAATGACAAGCTGAATATTATAAAATCTATGCCAATTCTACAGCAACGTTCGAGAGTAGAATATACAATAAGACCTCCTGGAGCCAGACGACGAGCTGCAGTATAAAGTCACTTCATCTTGACACAGAACTTGGACATAAAGAAGGCTCAGCTGTCCTGTTCTGTCCAAGATCCAGTGGTTAGACCCAGCCCCGGGGTAAATTAGTGCACATGAAGTCAGCACTATCCGGTTCTGCAGGTAGATCACTGTTGTGAAGATTTAGGATGGACATGGATCGATTGTAGAGAGTTGCAGCGTCAGACAGATAAGTCTTTGCTAGCAGATTGTATTCATTAACCCAGACCAAAGAAAGTCTTTTTTTAAATAAAGCTTCAGGGATGCAGTGTGGAAAGGCTGCTGAATCTATGTGGTGTCTTTAAGAGAGTTCAGAGGAGACTACATCTGCTTAGGAGGGACACATCCACCCTGCTCCATAGACTCTGATGCAATGTCCCCACAAAGAACAAAGGAAAAGGACGGATTAATCCTCTCAGTCCGTTTAGTGAAAGTCAGGGCGACATCATGGCGACTTCCTTTCATTTTAGGAACCAAAATAAACTCTGCTTGTCTGCGTTCACCTACACAGCCTGTCTGGCAGACTGTTACCACACCACAGCACCGACTTAACTTACTTAATAGAAAACTAAAAGTGAGAGGATCATCTCTGAAATGAGCACAAAGAGTGTACTTTATTTCATTTTCTAGAAACATAAGTCTGTATTCTCCACAATTGTTTATAGAAAATAAGGCTACCTGAAAGTGTTTTTTGAGCACCTGCAGAAAGCAAAGGAAACAGCCTAAGAGGGCACAAGAGGATCTTTGCCTTTTTTTTTTTAAGCATGATCATGAATTTTTTACTGGATTCATGAATAAAAGTGCAGGGCTTTAGTTCTGCACAGCCAGCAAACAGAGAGCCATGCTACTACGGGATTAAAAATAGCAACCTGAGCTGTTAGAGGCTGAGGGACTTCAGACTGAGTTCCTTGTAATCTCCCCAACAAAAACACACCTTTGCAGTAAACCTTAAGTTATATCATGATATGGGCTCAGACTCATTCAGATTGATTTTAATACAATGAAACTTCTTTTCTCTTCACTTCACATGAGACACCATAACCTAATGTATATGTTGATAAAGCGAATACAGCAGATTATGGGGATGATAATCTGTTTTAGTTTTGAACAATGAGAGTTTAATGCTATACACTTATTTCTGCATCTCTTCCTGTTTTTCATGGCTGGATTTGGACAATATTATGTTTAATGCATGTGATCCAGGTTCAGTGGGTTACTCTATATGTACATTTCCTCTGGATTCGGATTAGATGCTTCTTTTATCATGTTTCACCCCTGATCGACGTTTACAAGTCTTTTTTATTTTTGTTTGTCTATTTTTAAGGTTTGAAGTTTAACCTTCAGAGTAAATTCAGGCCATCTGACTCAGTCTGTTTACACCTGAACAGCGACGCGTTTTGTTTTTATTTTCGGCACGTTGGGACCAGATCTCCGTGCTGCGGGCCTGGATATTTGCATCGGGCTCCATAAGAACAAGTTTTACCTGTGGATGCAGTTTCCATAGCAACGGGAGGCCTTTCCCCGTCCTCCTGGAAAGGATGAAATCGTTGATGATCCAGGTCGGCCGTCGCATCGCCGCCCCTCTGCTTGAATTCCTCCCCGAACAGGCCGTTCCTCTCACGGTCATCCCCGAACCACCTCCCGTCCGAGCCTAGCTCCTCGCCGGGCTGAGCAGACATGCTGATTCCTGCAGTCGGACAGACGGGGCCGTTCTGCTCCTGTTGGGTTGGAGGTGCTGGATGGGTCGCGAACGAGAACCGAGTGCGGAGGAGGAGGGGCGGCGGTGGTGGTGGTGGTGGAGGGGGGGCAACGATAACAACGCAGAGCCCGGGTCTGTGTGCGCGGAGTGCGGGGTCTGGAGCTGAGCCTGAGCGGGTTGGGAACAGGAGCAGGGGAGTGAGGTTGATTGTTTTAGTTCACTGATCCGACAATGACGTCATGCTGGAGGCTCAGGCTTGGCACTCCATGTGGGATAAACATATGAAGGAGGTTCTGGGCTCAAAGCTTCATGATAAACTGCAAATAGAAGCAACACGTCATTAGGGCCGATTGATACAACAGATATCGGCTCCAATAACCATCTGCACATACCCCCCCCTCCCTCCTCCCTCCCAAAAAATTAAAAGGATTTTGCTTTTAAAAAAAGTAGACATAAAAAAAAATACAACAAATAAATGATTCATATGTGAAAGAAATAAGTGAAAGCTCCGTGTTTGGGATATTTCAGTGTCTGGTATGGTAAGCTCATTTATCATATAAAATGGGCACCCAGGGTTCCACTGTGTCTGCTAATGCCTACAACAACAGTGACACCTCAGCCAAATCAATGGTTGGGGAAGGAAGGGAATCTGTTTGAGGATGAAGACTTTGTGGATGTGATGAAACAAGCCGACAAAAGGTTCAATGTGTGCAATGTGATGTATTTTAAAAAGAGAATCAGTATGTGAAGTTCTATTCTGCACGATCTTATATAAATAAAACAGAGAAAAAGAGAATCAGTGTGTGAACTTCTATCCTGCACAGTGTTATATAAATAAAATAGAGAAAAAGATAATCAGTATGTGAAGTTCTATTCAGCACAGTGTTATATAAATAAAATAGAGAAAAAGAGAATCAGTGTGTGAAGTTCTATTCAGCACAGTGTTATATAAATAAAATAGAGAAAAAGAG